TCATCATTTCCATTCCAATTTTGCTGTTTTTCATGCTGTTTGTAAAAAAATTTTTTTTTCAGAAGAGACAAACAAACAACATACTCCTTAATATCTTCCATGAGTTCCTCAGTATTGCTGATACTATAACCAGCTTTAAAAGTCATATTTCAGTAGCTTTTCAGAGGATTTTACTATCTTTGGTTCTTTTTCCTTCAGTACTGATTCAATAGGCTCAACAGATTCTTCACTGGTTCCTTATTGCTCCAGAGTAACCCAGGGAGAATACAGAGCCATTCACATCTCTGAAATGGTGCTACACTCAACTGATTTCAGCAGGTGTGATGGAAGCTGGAAGAGTTTTATATATGTTGGGTTCTACCAGTGTGGCCTCTGGTGGACAGTGCTGTCTGGCACACAGTGAGTATCTGTGCAGAGGGTTGGTTACCTTGAGAGAAGGAGCCATGTAAATCAATCCAGAAGGATCTGATATGTAATCTAAACACAATTGTTGCAGAATCACTGACAGATTGCAACTATGTTGTTAGATTCAGAGCCACATGTGGCCAGATGTAACGATTAGTCTGAAAGAACCCTTCTTACATAAAGATACGCTGGGAGCAGTGAGTGCTGCATGGAGACACAGCACCTATTTGTCGTGGAATCATGAAACTATTTGCGTTGAAAGACTTTAAAGATCATCTAGTCCAACCCCCTTGCAATCAGCAGGGACATCTTCAAACAGATCAGGTTTCTCAGAGCCTGACCTGATCTTGAGTGTTTCAAGGGATGAGGCATCTCCTACCACTCTGGGCAACATGTGCCAATGTTTACATTCGAGCCAGCCTCTCTTGAGTCAGTCCTACTTGACCAACAGCAGCTACACCACATGAGTTAAGCTGCTAGAGCTGTGGATTATTGACAGAGTGGTGGCCTGGGCAGCTGATGAATTTATCAATTCAAGTGGTAGAAAACACCTCTAGTGCTGCAGTCAAGTAGACCTGAAAGTACCCGCCAATCCTAATGAGAAAAGTGCAATACTTGAATGAAGATAGATTGAAAATAATGCTGAGGCTTGGCCTTTAGGAGCCTCCTTACCATCCATAACAAACTTCAGTTCCACTGGCTTGGAACTGAAACAATATATTTCTTAAATGACAGATACCAAAATGCTGCTTACAATAAACTGTTCCCCTACCACTGCCCTCACTTCCCCACTGATGTAATGGCTATGCCTGCTAACATCAGGGTCTTATTACATAACAGAATGCCTGTGTGTCTGTTACATGCCTTAATTTAAGTTTCAAAATCTCATTTGTCCTGCCTAAAACAACTAGCTGCATTTCCCTTCTTTCTGTTGCAATTAGCATAAATTGATTCCCAGTAATAAGACACAGTACACATGTCATTTGGTGGCCAGCCTGTTTCCCTTCATTGTGTTTTATCCTGGGATGGTGTCAAATTAGCAGCAGAATATGTTATTTTTGTGTACAAGTTCTTGAAATTCACGAAAGATTCTTTCTCTCTCAAGCAACCTTCTTGAATATGGTGGAATTAATCTGCTGTTTTGAGGATCTGCATGGTCTTATGAGAATGTTACTGCCTTGTGTATTTCCCTTATGAATATTCATCACAGATAATGATAAAATGTCCTAGTTATTATACTTGTCATGAGATATCTGGACATCCGCCACCATGTTTTCTGGCCTTGGAAAAGTTACTGGAATAGCTGCTGGCCTGGCTATTGCATTCATCATCTTGTTCCAGATGGAAAGCAGACTCTCTGGGTTGTCCATGTGGTGTACATCAGCAGCTGGTACTGTCAGGATGATGTTCTTCTGGCCAGCTCAGCCCAGGGGGCCAGGTACTGACAGATGGTTGACTACCAGGCAGAGATGTCAGTTTCCCCTAATTCAGCATTCAGGTGAAAAAAGGTAACCATTTTAAAAAGAAGTTTTAAGTGTGAAGAAAGAGGAGAATCACCATAGCTAAAACCTTTTGCATAGCCTCAGAAACAATAAATAATCTAGATGTAACTGTGTTTTACTGAATCATGGGGGAATCCTGGGATTCTGGCACAGGGTCCAGTCCTCTTTGGTGACCCCATTCTGTTGTTGCTGCAAGGAATTGATGAAACTCAGTTTTTAATATCAAGCCACTTTAAAGGGGTCTCAGACATGCTTATACTGGGAACCTGGAAAAAGATTAATTCCTAAATGAAAGTCTTATCAATATAATTTCTTCACTGAGAAACACGAAGCCTTATGCAAAGACTTTCCCGGGACTTTACATATTTTGACATTTTCTATTTACATGACCATAAAAAACCCTCAAAACAAAACGAAAACCAAAAGAGGAAAATATAGGCAAGCCATAAATACAGAAATACTTCATTACTGCCCTGCTATAGTTAGGTTTTGGGACCACTTACCTAGCCTGAGGAATGGAGCCTGCAAGCTTGCACAGCTTCTTTAATTTTGACTGATATTTGGCCTAATGTGCTCCCCTTTGTCATTATGATATATATTATATATGAGGCCACACCACAGACTAGAGACTATCATGGTTGGTTTTTTTCAACTTTGAACTTCTTTACCACCGAGGGAGGCTACTTCAGCTCTGCAGAATAACTGAGGTCATCAGAGTGACAGTCACCAAAAGGTGCTGCAACTTGGACAGGTTTGGGTAGCTCCATTCCAAACTCTGTATGTTCTATAGCTACCATAGTCAACAAGACATTCTTGTCTCAGTAGGGAAAGGCAACAGAATACTTCCATATGGAACATTACTCTTCACCTTGGCACAGACATCAATCAGATGAAACTAGCTTAAAAGGATTCAAGGGCAGAGGTTTGGTAGGTACCTGACTTACCCGTGTACCCTTCCACAGCACAGTGACAGTCACCACATTCCTCCCCTCTGAAGGTGCTGCTATTTGACACAATCTTGACCCTCTCTCCTATGTGAGCATTCTGGGACACCTATAAGCACAGCTGAAAATATACATCTCCATTGCCAGAGATCTCTGAGTTTCTTCCTCTCTTCTACAGCACAAATGAGATTATTCTTCTGTATTTCCACCCTGTTTCTTCCCTGAGCAGTTTAAGCTGTTGTGCAGCTCACAACTCTCTTAGTTGTTTTAGGTGTTGTGGGAATTTCAGGAAGCTCTGTTTCAAAAAGAAATTTGTTGTGTGTGTGTAAAATTCTTCTTTACAAGGTAGTTTAAGATTAATCCCTTGGTTACACTTTAGTTTTTATAGGATATTTTCCTCTGTTTCACAGTCACATATGTATGTTTATTTCAAACCATGGGACATTCAAACACACTAATTAATCCCGAAGTGGTCATGAGATTGCTTTTGGAGTGGTCTAATCCTTGGAGTTAGGAGCTGGATCCCAGTTTAGTACATCCCACACATACTTTCTTTTCATTCTGCAGAAGCAGCAGCAGCTTCTGGCTGATTCTGTGCCTGGCTTTGTATTTTCCAACGTAAGAAATGGCAGTAGCTATGCAATCCAGCTCTGTAGGTTTCAGGTACATTTTTGAACCCTTACCATGAGCTGGACCATATTCAATTTGTCCTGGTCTTATTACTAGCCAATTTGGTAAGGCCATATCCCTAATCAACACCCAGCACTCAAGCAGAAGTATTTGTTGCATGAACTATTGTGCAAAAGGAACTGTACTTCCTCAAAGAAAAGAGCCATTCCCGTATTCCAGAAGAGCTTTATTTGGGAATACAATGGCCCATTGAAACTTCAGTTTGCTCACATAGCTTGTGCTCTCCAGCTTCATCTGACTGTCCAGAATCTCTGCACCTGCAATAGCTTCTTTTCTTTCTGGTGTAGTCTTAGGCTATTAAGTATTAAAACCCTCAGCAACTTTTTTATCCCACTCCTTCTATTCTCACAAAACTCCCTGGGCCCCTAGTACTCTACTG